CTCTCTCTCTCTCTCTCTCTCTCTCTCTCTCTCTCTCTCTGGGGATTGGGAACTATGGTGACTTCCCGAGCGTGGATGACGCATGAGATTGGCAGAGGCCACGGGTTTCTGCTGGTGCTGCAGGAGGCCGACGAGGAATGTGCTGCACTGTTGGCTTGTGGCCGGAAGTGTTCACATGATGACAGCGCTGCGCTTTATTTCTGCCGTTGGCCGGAAGTGTCCCCATCAACACCGTGCCATTGGCAAACTCGTCGTGTGACCCAAAGAGTTACATGTCCCCTATGTCTTCAATTTGAAATCACATTTCAAATCTCCATCATATCACTTTAAGGATTTGATCGGATGGCTGTTGCACAAATATTTTAAACCAAACATGAGAAGCTCATGGCGTATTCTGATATCATCTTCAACATTGGGTTAGCACAGATCCCAAAAGCCTAAATTATTAGGCAATGTTGATCGAAGCCTATGAACTACCATACAACAAAACAGGAATCCTGGTGATTAGAACTTCTCTGTCGATTTGAAGAAGAGATTGGAGAAGCAATATCTTCGGGCAGCTTCGGTTTGTGATCATTGATTTGAAGTTAGCCGAGGAGATTGGTTCCGAGGAATGTTCCTTTTTACGTAATTTACAGTGATGAATGCGAGGAGGAATCTCCTACTATATGGGGACGTCACCAACCATGCGTCGGTGGCATTTCATTGTCGGCTGGGAAAATGGTTTCTCCACAGTGTTTATATATGGCAGGTTGTGCCCATAAGTGCCACCATCAGAGAGAGAGAGAGAGAGAGAGAGAGAGAGAGAGAGAGAGAGAGAGCTCCATGCCATCCTCACTGCTGGCCTCGCCGTTGTTGCCATGGAGGCAACAGTTGTTTTCTGTTCTCTTCCTCGGAGTCCTTTTCCATTCGCGAAGGTAAGAGAAAGGAAATGGATTGCGTGCAGGAACGGTAGACACTCATGCATACATCCAGTACAGCATCCAAAACAGAGGAAACATATCAACGTATGAATCCCTCACACGGTGGACAAGGGCATGTTGGTGTGGGGAATTATGGTAGCAGGTCGAGTGGTGTATGTTTGCTGTTGTCTGCGAAGGAGAAAAGGTAAAGACAAGTCGATGACAGAAGAAACCAGCTGAGCTTGACACTATACCGACAGTCTCAAGCTCCGAGCTTCTCTCTTCCCTCTCTCTCTCTCTCTCTCTCTCTCTCTCTCTCTCTTTCATGTCTTATCTACCACTAACTGAAAGTACATCAAATATGTATGTGAAGAAGCAACAGCAGGGGAGGGAAGAGATATCTTCCACCAACCGTGGGCGGGGATAAAGAAGAAGAAGAAGAAGAAGAAGAAGAAGTGCGCTTGCTAGGCCTGTGACTCCAAGTCGCTTGAGGTGATGAAGGTGCCGTGGAAGCCGTAGGGAACGCGCGACGGCAGCTTCACCGTGGCCTCCAGCCGCATGTTGGCCGCGTTCACGATCAGCAGCTCCGACTCCAATGTCTCCTCGTCGTGCATGAAGGTGAGCACGTAGCCGTCGTCGTCGCTGCATGCGTCGGAGTCGTTGCTCGGCACGAAGTAGGGCTCGCCGCCGTACCGCCCGTCGCCGAAGATGAACTGCTTTGTCTCTCCCGTGAACAGGTCGATCTTGGTGAAGCCGGACACCTTCGGCCATGGCTCGGCGACGGCCAGGTAGGCATGCCGTGTCTTCCTCCCCATCATGTTCCGGTTCACCGTTCCGGCTTCGAGGTTGACTTGGTCGGCCGGGGACAGAATCGGGCGCCGTCTGGACTCCCCGGTGTGGAGATCGAGCCGGATCTCGGAGAGGACGCTCCTGAGGTTCTCCTCGCGTTCGTTGAACACGGAGTCCGGCGGCGTCATGCAGGAGCCTATCACCACCACCTCGCCGGTCGCCGGCTCCTCCCACGCGTTCCACAGGTGGAAGCAGAAGCAGTCGGGCACGTCGACCCACCTCATCTCGGATGCGTCGGCAGCGTACTTGGGCAGCACGCCGAAGCGGGCGGTCTTGGTCGTGTCGTAGACGACGGGAGAGCCACCCCGGACCATCTCCTGCAGTTTGAACACCACCTGTTGGTCCGGCACCACCACGTAGTTCTCGGTGATGGCGAAGTCGTGCGTCATGGTGGGCTGCTCCAGGGGGATCTCCACGTCGGCGGACTTCTCTCCGTCGGGGGAGAAGTAGAAGTACTTGAGGTAAGGCCTGTGGATGACGTCGTAGCTGAGCGCGAAGAGCTCTCGCGAGACCGGGTCGAGCTTCGGGTGCGCAATCATGGATGACCCAAGCTGGCCGCCGAAGTCGTACCGTTCGACCGTCTCGAGATCGCCGGAGGGAGTGATGCGGACGTGGTAGGGGACGTCGTCCTCGGACATGGCGAGGAGGCGGTCGTTGAAGTACACGAGGCCGGCGTTGGCGACGCCCATCCCGCGGCTGCCGTCGACGAGGCCGAACAGGCTCCGCGCGTAGAACAGCAGCAGGCGCGCCACGCCCGAGTGGCCGTGGAGCTCGCCTATCGCCTTGGGGAAGACGGGCTTCCCGATGGCGCGCTCCTGCCGGAGCCGCTCCGTTTCAGTGTACCGGCAGGAATAAGCGGCGGCGCCGTTGCAGAGGCGGACGGCGTGCACCATGCCGTCGCCGTCGAAGAAGTGGTGCCCGGCCACCGGTTCAAACTGGGGATTCGCTCCGTTGCGAACGTACACCCCATCGATTGACACCGGGATGCGGCCTTCGACAAGGAGGCCATGACAAGGCGGCCGCTCGTCGACGGGGGCAAAATTTCCGGCGATCTGGACGGCGGGGTCAGCAGTCTTCGGCAAAGGGTGACCACGCTCAAGCACGTTCGACACGAACGCCTGCTCGACGGTGTCCAGCGCCGCGGCGGCAACCCACTGGAGCAAGTTCCACGAGGTCCTCGCTGCGCCGTCGTCCCCGCCGCTTTGCGCGGGCCGACGGGACTTGCTCGCGACGGAAGTCGTGGCCTCTTTGTGAAAAGGTATCGGGAAGTACGCCGGGGTAGCGTTGGTGGCCAAATTAAGCAGCGAGTTGGAGGAGGCAGAGCAGTGCACTCTCGTGGTGGTCGCAGAAGCCTGCTTCCTCGTAAGCTTCACGGGATTAGGCGGTAATTGCAGAGTAGAAGTCATGGCGGTGGTGGCAGAAGCCATATATCCTTCTCTGCTAATGCTGTCGAAGCTTGGAGATGAAGAGAGAGAGAGAGAGGGGAGGGGGGGGGCGAATGTGACGAAGTGTTTGATCCGAGACCTGTGTGTTTGTGTTGGGGTGGGGGGGGAGAGAGGGATGAGGGGCTATATATAGTAAGCGAGACAGGGAGGAGGCAGACTCCGCGCCTGGAGGGAGCCCACGTGGTCGATGGTCGCATGAGGACACCACGTGGTGACATTGAATTCGTCGGCTCATGGAGCCCGTCGGAAGAGAAGGGAGATCATATGCTGTGTCTCCAAACTCCACAAGCGACAGTGTCCGTTTTGTAGGAGGCAAGAATACTCGTGTCTATATCACTTCATGAATTCTTATGTTGGGATCTTTACATGGAGTCCGATTAGGTGTGAAAGGAAGAACTGTGGGCAGTGTCTTCACCTACCGATGTCGAGACACGTAATCCTTGTCAACACCTTTGCTGATGAGTCCGTGTTTCAACGCGGTGTTGACCTTAAGTCAACGGAAGGTAGAGAGACATAGGAATCACACCAATCTCGTTAGAGGGTAGGAATCAACGAGCCATGCAACCTCATGTTACTTTCCTCTTGGTAGAACCTCAACGCATCCCCAATCATTGGTCTGTTGGCCGTGAGAAGGGGCCGCCTCGGCGAGACACGGCACCGCCCACCCACCCGCGCACAGACCACACGATGGGTGGAGTGCACATGAATCCATGGGCGAGCAAAAGCCAAGCCGAGTCTGAGCTTTTGGTCCATGCCGGCGGAGCCACCGCACGATGGGCGGCCAACGGCCGACAGACCACCGACTGGCCGGTCCACCCGGCCGTGGCGGACGCCGAGCACGTGGGCCACTGCCGCGTCCTCGCCCGGGTCGTGGTGGTCGCTGCGCGGCGGAGCAGGTGGGGGCCTGCCCATGCACACCTGCCGGAAAACGGTACCCGACCCACCGCACGGCCATGACCATGTTGATAAGGCCAATCCCCCCGCCCCCACTCCGCTTACACTACACGACAGCGTGCATCAAAATCCCCAACGCCGCCGGACACCGCCGTGAGTCTCCCCGGCGTCTCAGCGCGCACGTGGCGGCGCTTGTCGGAGCTCCGCAGAGACTATGGGGGGTTCTGATCTTTCCGATCCGTTTATACGGATGACGACATCATCAATCGGAGCATTAAAAGAATTATAGAATAATTCTATATTGCTGAAGATTTAAAGAGTCTGATACTATCTATATATTAAGTTTTTAAGTAATAATTTAATAGTTTAATATTTTAGAATGCATTTTTATCTCATATATGCTAGTAATGATTTATTAGACTTTTTATTTGTGATATGGTAATTTATCACAATAATAATGTATTTGTCAAAAGTAAATTGAGTTGATTTAGTAGAATATCCTACGTTGGATTAGATATCTATTATAGAATCTTAATAATCGTTGGATTTAAATAAAAGAGTTAATATATTAAAATAGTTTATGAGATTATTATCCATTATTAGGATACAAGAAATCATCTTACGATTCAAGCATTACTAACAATACTATGCTAATCATATCGATCACTCGATCGATCGATGTGTGTGATATTTAACTAGACATCGAGTGCCAAGCTAACGAAGGTATATCCGAATAAGTGTCAAGTTGATAATAATATAGCACGGTTATGTTTGATTCCTCTATCATTTCTAATAAATATTAACATTAATGTATATGGTCTTTCATTTCATATTAATTATATCTTAGTTTTCATAACTATAAGTTATAAGAGAATATTTACGTGTTATTTTAAATAATAACAATAATAAATATAAAGGTATCGAGATTGATGTAAATAGCAAGATAGAATATCATATAGTAACACTAAATTTCACTTTCACTTAACACTAAATTCATTAAGTCGAAACAAATCTTCTAACTTCGTACACGATCATTTTCTATTCAAATCCCTTCGTCATACTCAAATACTAAGTCATTTCTAATACCAAATATCATAACTCGGGTTTAATCGTTTAATTGGCTTATCAATTTTGTTTGACCCAAATTATTGATTAAAATATTTAAGTTAAAGTTAATAATAGTACACTTATCAAATCCTTATAAATCAATCTTAATCTTACATCATTTAGATACAAGACTAATCGGGATATTATTATTATTAATATATATAACAAAATCTTTATTTTGATGAGAAGCTTATGGCTTTACTTCTTCTTTCCCATATAACATATTTTTATTAAAAAATCAAAATATTTAGTTCTTTTAAAATGTATAATTTTAATTGGGTGTCGCTTCTTATTATTTTTTATAAAAAAAGATATTTCTTTTCCCTCGTAACTCTTTAAAACAATTTACTTTAAAAGATTATGGATCCTAAGTTGGCCATCCATACACGAGTAAAGCATTTGGCAATTCCTACATGCATATTTCATGCGCTTTCTTTTCTTTTAATTACCATCATCATGTTTCATTGCACATTCCTACTTTCCTAGGAAAGTAAATGTTTGATCATATGCTTTGTGTTTTGTGTCACGATCAAATGCGTCAACAACACCTGTTTTTAAATATGTTTCTCATTCTTTAAACCAAATACCTAAAATGTTATTCTCGTGTTTTTTACCATTCTTTAAACCATATCAAATCAAATCAAATCAAATCCCAAACACATCCCATCTTAAATTTGTATTCGAATATAAGAACTTAATGGGCTTGCGCATGATACATATTGTTAGGCCTAATTCATTCTTAATATCATGAATAATGGATACAAATTTATATATTTTTTTTAATATTAGTAACATTATGAATAATTAAAATAAATTTTATTATAAGAATTTTGAAAAAAGTACCATCTTACTAAATTATTTTATAAAAAGATGAATCATGGTAAACTGAAATTTTTTTTTTCGATTGAAGAATCTCTTTCTTATTGTTCCGAAAAAAAATATCGAGTTTTGCTTTTGGTGATAGCATGTTATCGGGTGGTGGTTTCGCTTATAGAGTCAAATCAATACGTCGTAAGAAAAAAATATTTAAATACCAATCTCATTAATATCATAAGTATCTATCATACCAAATCTCATAAATATTATACGAAATCTCATCAATCAAATTATTTTTTTGAGAAATAACTAGTGATCTAGATAACCAATATTTAAATTATGAAAATAAACATATACTTTAAAGAATAAAGGCTTCCTAATGTGTTTAATGTCAATTCATGTCTTAGTCATCACATATGTGGGACATCGATTTGAAAGTGACTTTGATAAGGGTGGTCATTGATTCTTCGACAACCTTATGTTAGTTTTGGCACATTGGCAATGTGAAGGCCATGCTTAAGCATGCACTAACTACTTTAGAGAGGATAAGATAAGTGTCCATGTCGGAAAGTTGGATTTCATGAAAAGCAAGCAAGCAAGTAGCCACCAAGTCATCATACATAGCAATTCAAACAGTCGATGGGTAGGTAAGAGAAACATCGATGACATTTTGGATGGCATCGATGGAAAAGATGGAGCAATATATTTATGATTCCTACATGTAATCGAGTAGTGGATATTGAGTGGGTGGAATTCATCTTTCAATGCCTAACATTCCACCTTTGACGTCGCATGTGATAAAAGCAATGCAAAGATCTACCTATAGCCATTGCCACTCAATGGCCAAGCAATATGTTGTCTTAGGGTTTTAGTTGTTTTACCCATTCTTGTTCTAGAAGATTAAATGTGAAGTTGTTTGATGGCTCATAAAAATATAAGTCGATATTTTTCGTCACTAAATGATGAAGATTCTCTCTCTCTCTCTCTCTCTCTCTCTCTCTCTCTCTCTCTCTCTATGATTGTCATATGTGCAATTTTTTAGTTACTCACAAAAAAATTGGCTTTGAACAGCACTTCTTCTCATTAGTCTTCTTATTCTCATCATTTTCCTTGATTTTGAGTGTAACTGTTGACTTCTAGCTAAAGAAAGACTTTGTAAACATATTTTTTCTAGAAAATGAGATTAAAAAAAAATATTTTTTCTTTTTGCCCTGTTTTTACTTTTTGACCTATCTTTTATAAACGTAGAATTTTGAACATAATGACTTTAATTATTTCATAGTTATTAGGAGTGTACGTTATAAATACTTTTATAAGTGATTGATTGATACATTAGTACCAGAGATCGATGCCTCGATATCATATGGTTAATATCTCAGCGTAAGATGATCGACTTCTTGGTGCAAACATCTGAGCCTTAAGTAGTCGACTCGTCACCATCCGATTAATACTATGTGATTGAATGTTATCACGTTTTGAGTTCGATGTGATACGATAAAACTCGAGAGAGACTTACGATATTCTTTGTGATTAGCGTTCACTACGAAGGTTAAATATCACTATAAAAGAGTTCCGAAAGTATATTCCTAATACACAACAACTTTTTATATAGGAAGCTAGTTGAATTGTTCGAAACTCTTATTAACTTCAGCATCAAAAAAGTATTATCGGAACAATGTAATCTTTTTAATCTTTCATGGATCATTATGGATTCACTAGTAACTTAGTTCAGAATCAATTCTCAGCTAGTATGACCAAAATCTTACGTAGCAATAGTGACTTAGTTGACTTTGACTTTTTTCCTTTACATCTCAAAATTTATTAGTTGTATAATGAAACATGCGTGATGGTTTTTCTTTGTTCTAACATCAATAGTCTAATGTATGCTTGAATTATACATACTTGTGACGCAGTTGACACTCCAAAAGTGTGTTGACTTTTGGTTAAAGTTGATGAAACCTAATCCATTAAGTCGTACTAGATTCTAATGTCAATCATTTCGAGTATGATGGCATGAGTTGTGAATTTATCTCAATTCCTATATAGGAATAACATCAACATCATGTAATTGAGCTTATCCACTAATTCTTTTTTGTTTTTAACACTAATTAAAAATAAAAAAAACCATGACACCCCAATTGACCTCTCTCTCTCTCTATCTCTTACAATTTGTTTACCTCCCAATAATTAATTGCTCATTAGTCATTGCTACCT